TCACGGGGAAGAAGAGGCCTGAGCCATGCGGGAGTCAGAGAATTCTCAGGCATCACTTCATGAGAGAGAAACAGAGAGGCAGCCCAGGAGAAGTGAGCCCCAAGCCAAGCGGGAGAGACGCTCAACCCGTGTTTTAGAGAAGTTGGCCCTGGAGCTGGAGTTCACAAGAGGCATAGTAGGTTCTGTAGGCATATGAGCAAGGTGGGCTAGAGTCACCCACACAAACCTCAGCTCCATTTCTGATACGTGAAGATGGCAAAGCACCAAAAAGAACACATGGAACAGCAAAAATCAGAGCTTTGAAAAGCAACACCCATGAAATCTGGGCCTCAGAAGGTAAGTTGTTTCATCTCCCTGGGGTCTCCAGGTTTTTCATCAGACAATGGGGAGAGGGGACTGGACAAGTCAGTCCCTGGGACCCAGCAGTCCCGTATCCCACTGCACGGCAGCTGCTGCTCTTAGCATGCAGAGGAGTGATCTGAAGACGAAGGTTAACTGCCAGACATAAGTTAATGGTTAAAACTTATCAGTTAGGCCACTGAGTGTCTGTAGATGCCCAGCATGAATGTCTAGGGACAGTTTCTGAAGAAGTCATAAACTCTAGTTCCCGTGTTTTCCATGGAAGGGGACCAAGTCTTTGCCCTGGGTCTGTCTGGTGGAAGTGACAAAGCTCCTACATCAACCGCAGCCAGGACATGGGATCCCTGATGGGAGAGCCCAGCAAAGGCCCCCAGGGCAGCAGGCGATGCGGGCAGCAGGGGGTTCCACTGACTTCCCCAGGACCTCCTGTAGTCTCAGCTTAAAAAGAGCAGCAAGTCTATCACAAAGTTCTCTCCCTCAAGCAGCAAGCTGGAGAGCGGAGGAAGGCTCCTGGCTTGGCAACTGCCCAGACGGAGCACCGGGACAGTGGAAGAAGACGCCAAGGCCACCTGCAGGAGCTAAGAGGCTGGACAAAGCCGGGACCTCTCTCCTCTTGCTGCATTCTCCTTCTACAGACTCAGCAACACCAGCACTCCTGTACTTTATATCCAAGAAGGGCGCAAACCAAGGCATGTGCAGAGACAGAAACGGTGAGCTGGACCTTCGCAGCCAGGCTGCAAAGGCTGAGGATGAGCCAGGGGTCTGAGAGCATTGGAGCCCAGGTGGCAGGAGGTTCTGTGTTTTTCCTGGATTAAAGCGGTAGCTGCGCATCGGGACCCCCTGCAGGGTGTCTCCCCGACATTACTCCTGTGCACGTTCCCCTCGCTAACTCCTGCGTGTGGTCCCGACGTGGGGTCTTAAGTTTACAAAAAAATTATCTACAGGTCCATTTCACCTCTGATGATTCAAGATGATACTCAATACCCTACACAAAGCACAACTCTAAGGAGCAGACGCATCTGCAAGTGGGCAGAGGCGGAAGAGGCATCTCACCATGATGCAAGGCTGCAGGTTTCAAGGATGGGATGCCGGTGCCTCCATCTGCTTGCCTAAGCTCCACATTTCCTTTAGGGGGGCACCATCTGCCACCCTTTCCTCCCCCTTCTCCCCTCCCCAACATCTGCTTTCCTACAACTGCTTCACTTCTCCTACTTCCTTTTTCACTCTTGCCAGTAAGTCAAGTGATAGCCAGGAAAAAAGCAAGTCATGATGCCCACACGGCTCATGTGGCTTAAATGAATAAGCACTGCATTCCAGGAAGCCAAACAGTTGAAATCCCAAACTTTCAAGTGATTGTACATACATTATTTGACTTCCCTAAAACTTAAGTAAGTATTGTAACCAACAGCTAAGAGAAAGTCATTTTTCTGTTTATTGCAGGAAGAAAGTGAGGCTCAGGACCTATCTAAGTCCATGTGGGCTGCTATACCAAAATACTGGGAGGCTTATAAACAACAGAAATATACTTCTCATGGTTCTAGAGCCGGGAAGTCCAAGATCAAGGTGCCAGCAGATTCAGTGCCTGGTGTGGGCCCTTTCCAGGGTTCATAGATTCTTGCCATGTATGCACATGGCAGAAGAGGTAAGGGATCTCATCTCTCTGGGGTCCCTTTTATAAAGGCACTAATCACATTCATGGACACTCCACCCTCACGACCTAATCATCTCCCCAAAGGCCTCCACTTCCAGCTACCATCACCTTGGGGGTCAGGTTTCAGCACAGGAATCTGGGGGAGACACAAACATCAAGACCATAGCAAGGGGGACTAGAAAGTCTTCAGGAGACAAAAAGCCCCACTGGGATCCAAGCCCGGGTCTCTGCCTCCATCCACCCACTGAGCTGCATGGCCTGACCTGAGAGGATTTACTGTCCAATGGCTCAAGAAGAGAGTGACAGCAATCTTTTGGGGCTTCTCAAAATGTCCCAACGATGGCTCTGCCTCCCTGCCTGAGCCCCCAGCTGCTGTCTCGGTCCCCATTTCTGCAGGATGGTTCCTCCACATCGTCAGTGCCACAGAAGGGGCTCCGAGGGCCTGGACGGGAGGAGCCTGTGACAATGTCACTGACAGCAGCAGATCAACAGCTGTGGCCTTTAGCACCACCACACAGCAGCCACATGCTCCAGGGTGTGTGTGGAGCCTGTGATCACAGGCGCAAGTGCTCCCACATAGAGGGGAACACCGTCAAGGGCGTATAACACAGCACACGCTACCACCCAGTCTCGGGTCTGATGCGAGACCTAAGCGTATGTGCTGAAGCAAGGCTTCATACTCGCCTGAGGAATCTGAGTGCAGCGTCTAAGGAGCCCACTGGGCGATATACGTGAACACAGTAATCAAAGACTCAAAACCCAAGTGCAATAATGTGGGAGAAGCCACAGCCACATTCAGTTCCTGGAAGACTGAGCCGCTCCCTTAGCCGCGTGCCCTGCAGGAGCCGCCGAGGAGTTATGGCCCTCATATCCCCAACAACGACGGCATTATATTTTTGGAATAAGAAGGTGCTTTGTTATTGCCGGGGGCTTTCTCCCCTGCGGTTCAAAGCCGTATTATCAAAAAAATGAACACGGATATATTTCCCCGCACTGTGATCTGATAGGAATAAGAGCTTATCCATCCCTCAGCAAACTGCCAATTGCTGCCGTTAGAAATTCCGTATTCAGTCATAGTTAAGGATTTTGGAATACACTTTGAACCAAAGAATTCAATCCCTTAAGCAGCTGGCGACAGGCCTCATTTAAGAAATGGAAGGAACAACAGCAGGCTCATCTCTGCGGCTGTGGCTCAGAGGTGGCTGGGCCCGCGACACAGTCAAGACAAGCAGCCCACCCCCTCATCCTACTCCGCAGCCGACACAAGCTGCAAGCAATGCAGACAAAGGCAACACACAACAGGGGTGAGGGACAACACATCCCAGTCCTCCGCATCTGAAATACTCCCCCAAAGGCACTATCTTCCCCACTCACCACTGTATTCAGAAGCACTGCTCCCACACCACTAAAGGTGCACAGTACGCTGGGAAAGGAGCCTATCTGTGGACAAAACCCTCAAATAAACCACGGTTGGAAATCAGCTATGCCTAGGAGTGTGTGAACAAGAAACGCCTACTCCTCTGGGAAAGGGGAAGCCCTCTCCAGAGCAGGATGGAAAGCAAGAGCAGAAGGGCTCCACATAGCCCCCAGGAGGCCCGAGAAGCGCACCCACCTGACATCTGGAAGAGGCAGCCAGCAAGGAGGTGTGGCCAGGTCATAGGCGCTGCTGGTTTGGGGTTCAGGAAGTGGGCAGCAAGGCCCCTGTGCCATCCTCTCTGCTCCTGCACATGCTCAGCATTCTCCATAACAAAGACTTTAAAAAGAAAAGTATCTTGGGAAAAAAGAAATAGGGCTATACTAGTCTAGCTCTTCCAACTTTGTGTGTATGTGCGCATGTATTTGTGTGCACGCCTATGCGTATGTGTGTGTGAGAGCACAAATGTGTTTGGGTGCATGTGTATTTATGTGCGTGCACGTGTGCATATTTATGCATGTGTGTGTTTGTGTATGCCTGAGATCGGGAGGGTCGGGGAAACCAGCCCCCCTAGTCCTCACATGGAAAACAGACCCACGTGCAGTGAGTTCATGGTAACACGAAGTCAGCTTCCAGCATAGCCTTCCACTTGGAGCCCAAGGCAGGGCTGGAAATGATCAAAACAGCTGACCCATGAGGTCTGTAACAGGAGCAAAATCCCAAGACTCTAAAACTCCTCTTCCCTAGACCTACAGCCATGAGGACAACCTGTCAGGACACCTACGGAGCCCCCACAGGCAGGGCCAAACAGTAGATGGGGCAAAACACTGCTGCCACCCCGACTGCAGACCCAAATCATACCTGGGGATTCCGTAAGTACAGTCACCATCCCCAGGAGGTCTGAAGGTTCAGGCACCAAGACAAGGTAGAAAACCACATGCTTCTTCCTTGGGATGTCTGTCACTTCCCACACGGCTCTTCCAGGCCACCTAACTTCCCCACTCACCAAAACCCTAAGCCCTACAGGACACAGCCAGGCCTCCTTTGGCCACAGAGGCCATCAGGCAATTTAACCTCTCCAGGTACTCACAAACCTCAGTGAACATCACTAAACCTCACTCCAGGGTTCCCAGGTTTCCATGGCAGCTGAAAACCCCAATCCATCTATGCACAACTATCTCCATAATGAGGCAGAAAAGTCCCCAGGCAAGGGGAATGCCCTGGACCTCCCTGCTCCTGCCCTCTCTCCCCCAAGAGGCAATATGACAAGGCAGTGAGAAACCAGGGACCGTGTACCACTGAGAAGGAGCTGTTGATGTGGCCAGGGGACAACTATTGAATTCTTATCTGAAATCAAATTCTTAAGAATTATTTTCTACGATTAAAACTGTGGATTTCAAAGCTCTTCGGTTTATTCTTGAGATGAAAGGTATACACCATATCCCAGCCCTGGCTTTCCTAAAGAGTTTTCTTCCCGTGGCTGCAGTCCAAAGAGGCCCCCCACCCCACACATATCATTCAGTGAAGGCTAACTCAGCTATAAAAAGTCCCACGGGAAAGCAACAGAATGCTTACCTTGGCTTCACATTTCTTGTGGCAGGAATACTTGCAGGCTGGAAGAAAAAAAAAAGAGAGAGAGAGAGAAAGAATGTGTGTCAAGCAGTCTCTCTAGCAAGAATTCTTAAATCTCCAAACCCTCTCAATCTTTCAAAGTCTCTAGCTTGAAGATCCCATGGGTGGCCTCTCTCTGGCACAAGGGAGATTTTTACATATGGCACACGGCAGTGTGGACAGAAGGCAGTGAGGACATGGTGTGCAAGAGCCAAGTTACAACTATGGTCTGTTAGCAACAGCTCGGGTGGCTCAGGTGGGAATGTCTTGGGAGCAGGGTCATGAGCAGATTGGTTTTTCAAGGGATATGTACATTCAGCCAAACTGGATCCCTAAAGAAGAACAGTGAATTTTAGCAGCAGAACGCATTTGTGTGTGCCCAGAAATTACAGCTGATCCCTGAAAAAAGAAGAGAAACTGGAAAATGCCCCTTAAGAATCAGAATTTAAAGGGTCCATGAAAGACTGGATTAGAGCCTTTAAATTTGTGAGAAAGTTGTGCATCTGGATTTCGGAACTGCTTCCACTTCCGGCCAACCTGAGAACTGACTGTCAGAATAAATTCATGTCTAAATTCCTATAGAAGAATCCTTCCAGAGGGGTCATTGTGTGAACGAAGCGAGTCCTGTGTCCCTTCGGAGGCCCTAACAATGCGATGCGGAGCTGGAACCAATGCAGATTTCACAGGCCCTCCTGCCCAGGGGCTGCAGCTGTGATGATGAGGCATAAACCTCCCCATGACCACCATGGGCATGCTGCAGGCAGGCCTTGCAAGACAGGGAAAGAGAAATGAAGCAACAGCACCGAATAATCCCAGCCCAGCCTCCTGTGCCAGCTCCAAGGGAGCGTCAGGTACATGACCTCCCTTCCCTCACGTTTGCCAGCCCACACAGATAGCTGTGAGAGGAGGGAAAGACACTTGGGTTGGGGAACAGTGACCAAAGTCTCCTATTCAGGCTCTGCCCCTCTAGCTGGGTCTCTGTTTCCTCCCACGGAGCTATCATGGGTCAAATGGAATCCTTCAAGGGACCTTGCTTTGAAACTAGAAAGTAATGTCCACAGGCAGAAGTGCATGGAACCTGAAAACCAAGGCCTCGGAAGTCAGAGAGAGGGGACCCACATCCCAGCTCTGCGTGTTGACGCCCTGTGAATTTAATCAATGTCTCACTCCCCCTCCTGCACTCTGTTTTCTACGACGTGTCAAAGTCAAAAAGGTTTGTGTAGGGTTGAATGAGGATGAAACAGATAAAGTCACTTGCCCACTACCTGGCAGTTATTAGAACTCCAGTAGTTATAGCTAGGTTGTTATCTTTGTATGATCTATTTTTTTGAATTGCTGAATTGTCTTTCTATGCCTCTGAGGTTTGTGAGATTATTCCCAAAGACATGTATTTATCCTACACCTTCTAATGGGCAAAGCACACAAAGGTGATCAGTGATTTTCAAATCAAGAGGCTTGCCATTGGGAAACAAGGGGCTTCCACACAAGAGTAAAAGTCCAGACAGAAACCATCCCCGGCAGAGGCCAGCACGAAGGACTGAGATAAGGAGAAGGGCAGTGGGCAGGCCTCTGGCCTCTGGCTGAGTGAGAGTCAGGGAAAGAATTCTGCCCACACATGTCTACCAGCATGTCACAGGACCATGACATCACGCAGCAGTCAGCCTTCCAGATGGCCCGGGTGACCTCAACTCATGGCCCCCATGCCGGTGTGTAGCCCCCTCCCTCAGTGAATCAGCTGGGCTGTGTGACAGTGTAACCTGGCAGAGGGGATGCTGTGTGACTTTTGTGGCTAAAAGGCATCATGGCTTCTGTCCTGGTCTCCAGGATCACTCATTCTGAGGACAGCCAGACGCCATGTTGTGAGGACACTCAAGCGGGCCTGTGGAGAGGCCCCCATGGAGAGGAACTGAGACTTCCCATCAACAGCTGGGCCCAGCTTCCCAGCCATAGAAGTGCACCACCTCAGAAGCGGGTCTCCAACCCCAACCAAGCCTTCAGATGGTGCAGCCTCTCCAGAGACCCTGAACCAGAACTGCCCAGTCACCTATGTCCCAAATTCCTGACCATTGACATAGTGGGAGATAACAGATTCTTACTGTTATGCTAAGGTACTAACTTTGGGGGTCATTTGTCATGCAACATGCCAACTCAACACAAAAAAAGGGCCCTGGTCAGTACAAGGGTGGCACTGGTATGATACATCCATGGTGGGTGGCCTACTCGGCCACCAGACAGGCATCCGCATCGTAGGGCAAAATCATTAAATTCAATTATCATAGTGAAATCGTATAAACTGCCCATCAGCTAAGACTGCAATCCTGAGAGGAATGGCCATTGTTTCTGGTATGTAGACAAATGACCCTCAAAATTTTACAAATGTTTAGACTAAGACTTTACACTTGATTGCCAGCAGCATGGGTAATCCTCAGAGTAGCAAGTCCACTGTCAATCTATCTATGGCCCAGCTCTGGTCAGCACTGCACCAGGCAGCATACAAGATACTTTCCTGTATGTTACTGCACTTGCTCCTTGCAAGCACCTCTCGGGGAGAGACTGTAAGGATGTCTCAGTCAAGGCGGCAGCCATGGTCCATGAACACGGGACTCCAGCCCGTCTGTACATCAAGTTCAGTGTTTTCATCCAGCCGTACTCTCCTTGCCTTTCTGACATATTACAAAGTATGAATAGAAGAGTTCCCAGGCCCAGCTTCCTATCCTGCCACCCACAGGAGACGGCCCCCTGCCTGCCCTACCCCAGCCTGCCCTAACCTTGCCCATGCCAACCCCAGCTCCTCATTCACGCCATCCTGCACCCACCTCCCCTCCTGGACCCAGCTCAGCTGCCTCCGTGCGTGAATTCACACCCTTCTGTGCCACTGACCCATCATGGCGGGTCATCATGGCTTGTCATATCATGATGATTTCCCTGTGTCCATCTCTCCCAATGGGCTGCAAGTTCATCAAGGGACAGCGTCTCTATTGTGTATGACCAGGGTCTCACAACAGCAGCACTAACAGGAGTGATAGGCAGCTGATACTCTCAGCACCTAAAAGCTTGAACTGCATAGGTATTACCAAATTTCCACCACACCCTGGAAAGAAGCTACCTACCTTCACCTGGTTTACTAATGTGAGACTGGGGTTTGTGGATGAGACTGAGGATTCATGGGCAGGACAACTGTGTCCCAATCCCGACCTGTTCCAGGTCTGCTTTCAGAAGCCCTTAGCCAGTAGGTCCACGTGCTATGGAGACCTCATTACCTGATCACTGTTTAGGGACTCCGGGCTGTGAAGGTGTTGGCCACAAGGGAGGCTCCAAACAGTGGAAGAATTTCACACCAAAATCAATCTCCGAAGTACACAGGCCCGGAAGACAAAATGTATGTGTTCTTTTCGACCCTCAGCCACACGGACCCACCTCCTTTTTGGAACAGCACTTGTGTGAGCTGTCAGCTAAACTAGCCACCTTCTCAGGGAATGTCATTTTTATTTGAAAGAACTCCCAGCAGACAAAATGTTGTTATTCAGACTCGAGTGCTTGTCATTTTCTCAAAAATAAAGTGAGTCTGTCATCATAAACCCACGTCAAAATTTGAGATTTCAAGTGAAAATTAGAATTTTAGAAGACTTGTACCCAGGCCAGGCACGGTGGCTCACGCCTGTAATCTCAGCACTTTGGGAAGCCGAGATGGGCGGATCACTTAAGGTCAGGAGTTTGAGACCAGCCTGGCCAATACGGTGAAACCCCGTCTCTACTAAAAATACAAAAAATTAGCTGGGCATGATGATGCATGTCTGTAATCCCAGCTACTTGGGAGGCTGAGGCACAAGAATCGCCTGAACCCAGGAGGCAGAGGTTGCAGTGAGTAGAGATCGTGCCCTGGGTGACAGACTAAGACTCTGTCTTAAAAAAAAAAAAAGAAAAAAAAGACTTGTACCCATCACCAGAGCCTAACAACTCCTAGGACATTTCTGTTAAATCAACAATAATATTAACAAATGTGGGGATTTTCCTGAGACTGTATAACAAATATGTCAACATTTCAAAGTTCTGAGTAATTGTCAGTGGACCAATAATTTCCAAATAGCCACTGCGTGGTGTTCCACACTGGATAAAAGATGCACTTGGTGTGCAAGACAGGCCAGTGGATTTTAATAAAACAGAGTAGGAAAAACTCTACCAATACACTTTCAGATTCCACAGTGAAACTGAACTTTAAGCAACTGTCACTTGAGTTTTGGTGTAGAATCAAAATGGAATATCTACAATGGCCTGAAAAGCCTGTTAAAATGCTTCCTTTTCCAAGCAGATATGTTTATGGGGCTAGATTGTCTTCAACACTTCAAACCAAACATTGCGGAAAGGCTACATGCAGGGGGAACCAGCCTCTTGATTAAGGCTGCATAACAGAATCACAAAACCATGCCCCTCCTCTCTCACTTTGTTGTTTTCAAACATACAGTCATTTTTTATTAAGCTTATGTTCATTTTAACATATAATTGGTTCATTACCGTTGCTTATAAATGACTTAAATATTTTTGATATTCATCAGTTTCTTATTTCTAATAGGATAAATCGTGATGAACACAAACCACACCAACAGGAGCCCTTTAGGGTCTTCTAGGACCCTAGCAGTGAGTGCTTGAGACCTGCAGCAGGAGGGCAACCCCGTTCATTCTCCTTGCCTGAGACTCTCAGAATGGGGTAAGGACCCGATTTTGACCAATAGAAAGGTAAGTGAATTCTCCCACGGGCTTCTGGTGAAGGCCTTCCCACTCCTATGAATGAAGCAAGAGAATGAAAATGCCTCAGCCTCTGGAACTTGCCCCTCTGAGCACAGAGCTGGACCCATAGGAGGAACCTGGAGAACTCAGGCTGCAGAACCGGGGCCGAGGCACACTGCTGGGAGCCCACCAGCCACCGCACCTCCCCCTGCAAAAGACACAGGCCCTGCTGACTGGGAGAGGCTCCATCCACGCAGCCCGTTATTGGCTGCCACGG